GTCCGCAGAGCCTACTCTGGGAAATTATTGACCTTGCGAGTAATTCCTTTAATAAGTTTTGATTCGTTAAAATTGATCAGCAGCCCGAGTGGTTTATTTGCCAGCTTTAGGTAAGTTACGAGCTGGGCCTCATGAATTGGTAAAATAGTTTCAACCGATTTTAATTCAATAACTATTTGATCCTCAACCAAAAAATCCAGTATAAATTCCTTTTGAATTTCGGTTCCTTTGTAATTAATAGGAACTACGGCTTGTGCCATGAATTTTACTTGAAGTTTTTGTAATTCCATGAACAAGCAATGCTGATAAACCGACTCTAGTAATCCGGGGCCCAATGTTTTATGAACTTCTATTGCGGCACCAATTGTCTTTTGAGACAGTTTATTCAGTTCTGTTCCTGTCATTTTGCAAAGGTCTTAAAGAAAAATTTCTCCGCGAAACTCTGCGGACATTGCGTCTCAGCGTTGAAGCAAACTCAGGATATCATGTACAAAATAGGTAGCAATCAAATCAGCGCCTGCTCTTTTAATGGCTGTTAGCGACTCCAGCATGGCCTCTTCTTCGTTTAGCCAACCTCTTTCTGCAGCGGCTTTTATCATGGCGTATTCGCCACTTACGTGGTAAGCACTTACCGGTACCGGAGAGATATCTTTTATGCTACGTATAACATCGAGATAGGCCATGGCCGGTTTTACCATTACTATGTCGGCTCCTTGCTCAATATCCAACTGTGTTTCTTTTACGCCTTCCACTGCGTTGGCGGGATTCATTTGGTAGGTTTTTTTATCGCGAGGGATATCCTGCGCGTCTACCGGGGCAGAATCTAATGCATCCCGAAAAGGCCCGTAAAAACAGGAGGCATATTTGGCACTATAAGCCATAATGCCTGTGTCGGTAAACCCGGCCGTGTCAAGTGCAATGCGTATGGCTTCAATGCGGCCGTCCATCATGTCGCTGGGTGCTACAAAATCAGCACCGGCCTGGGCGTGGCTTACCGCCATTTCGGCCAAAACACCCAAAGTTTCATCATTTTCAATTTTGCCCTTGTGCACAATGCCATCGTGCCCAAATTCAGAATAGGGATCCATGGCCACATCCGTCATCAGGCAAATTTCAGGCACCGCCTCTTTAATTTCTCGTATGGCGCGCTGCATCAATCCATCGGGATTTAAAGCTTCATTTCCTTCGTTGTCTTTCAACTCGTCNNGAGTAATGCGCTGCGGCAGCCCATTTCCCAAAGTGCTTCCACTTCCGTGAGAAGGAGATCCAGGCTATATCGGTAATAACCGGGCATCGAGGCAATTTTTTCCTTTTTGTTTTCGCCTTCAATGCAAAATAAAGGAGCGATAAAGTTACTGGGGTGGAGGCGGGTTTCGGCCACCATTTCTCTAATGGCGGAAGTTTGTCGTAATCTTCTGGGGCGTTGTAACATGTTTTATTTGAAGTTTTTTAGAAAATCGGTTGGGGTGTAAACCGGGATAGTTGACTTTTTAAATCCTTTTTTGTCACGCGAAATAATGGCGTCAGCTTTAGCTTCAAGACCTACAAAATATTGGAGAGCATCTTCAAAATCAGGCATTTCAGAGGCGAAGGCCCTATCGAGCATAGCATCATCTACATTTCTAACTTCACAAAAGCTTTTGAAGGAGATAACAGCTTTTCTAGCCGCTTGGTCTCCAAAGTCTTTCCTTAAAAAGTAATGCAGGTTAACCACTGTGAGTGAACTGATGATTACTTTGCAATTATTTTCTAAAATATGCGTCAGAGATTGAGCTGAAGCAGGGTAAAAAGGCATTCGCTTTGATAAAATGTCATAGCAGATATTGGTGTCCAGAAGCACTCGTGAAATATTACTCATACTTCTTTTTCAAATATTCATAATATTCCTCCTTAATCTGCTTGTCAGTTCTGGGCTTTAAACCTGGTACCGCCAGAGATTTCACGAAGGGACTGATCTCAATTTCACCTGTGTCCTTTTCTGATTTTTTGGTTATCACTTTAAGGTAATTCTCTAGCATTTTAGAGAGGGAAATACCTTGCTCCTTGGCGTAGGCCTTGGCTTTTTCTATAACCTCTTTGTCAAGCGATAAAGTGAGTTTGGCATTCATAAGTATGTGTATACGTACAAATTTACAAAATATTACACGTGCAAAAGCAAAACCTAAATTCTAAGCTCTAAATTCTAAACAAATAGGGAAATCAAGAAAATTCAAAAATTAAAACATCTTCATCTTGATAATTTCAAGCTTTTGAAATTTTGAATTTGTTTCGAATTTAGAAATTAGAGCTTCGAATTTAAATCCAGGTCCTCGGATTCTTCAACACCTCCACCAACTTAGCTTCCTCCGTTCCGGTTTCGGGTTCTTTGTTGTAGTCCCAGCGTACGCGGGGCGGAAGGCTCATTAAGATACTTTCGGTGCGGCCGTTGGTTTTCAGCCCAAAGAGAGTGCCACGGTCGTGCACCAGATTGAACTCCACATAGCGGCCTCTGCGCAATTCCTGCCAGTAGCGGTGTTCTTCATTCCAGGGTGTATACTTGCGCTTTTCCACAATCGGCAGGTAGCCGGGCAAAAAGCTTTGTCCCATTTCCATGTCAAAGGCCATCCAATCTTCCGTGCTGCGGTTGGTATCGGGTTTCAAATAGTCAAAAAAAGTGCCGCCAATGCCGCGCGCTTCATGTCGGTGGTGGTTCCAGAAATACTTGTCGCACTGGGCTTTGTATTTGGGGTAGAGGTCTTTGCCATGCTTATCAGCGGCTGCTTTTTGGGTTTGGTGGAAGTGCCGCGCGTCTTCTTCAAACAGATAGTAGGGGGTAAGGTCGGTACCACCGCCAAACCAGCCGTCTATGCGTTCACCGACCTCGTCATACATCTCAAAGTAGCGATAGTTGGCGTGAACGGTAGGCACAAATGGGTTCTCGGGGTGAATCACCAGGGAAATACCGCAGGCAAAAAAGTTTTTCCCTGCGGTATTCATATTTTTCTTTAGCGCTTCGGGCATTTCTCCATGTACGGTGGAAGTGCTTACGCCACCCTTTTCAAAAACATTTCCCTTTTCCATTACCCGCGAACGACCACCACCGCCTCCGGGTCTTTCCCAGTGGTCTTCTACAAATTTGGCCTTGCCGTCAACTTCTTCCAAGGCCGCGCAGATCTCATCTTGCAAGTTTCGGATGTAGGAGGTGAATTGTTCCTTGATCATGTTAATTTGTTCAATAGTTAACTTGTTGATTAGTGGAGTAGTTAACTTCGATCCATTGATCAATTGGCTAGATTACTAGTCAACTAATTATCCAATCAACTACTCAACTAATACCCCTTCACCGTCTCAACAAAGGCCTTTGCGTGATCTACCGGAACGTGTGGTAAAATGCCGTGGCCTAAATTGGCGATGTACTTGTAAGTACCAAAATCATCAACCATTTGCCTGGTAAGCTTTTCAATTTCCTTCACCGGAGAAAGCAATCGTGCTGGATCAAAGTTGCCTTGCAAGGTTACGTTGAACTTGGTGAATTCACGTGCCATCTGTGGTGTTATTGTCCAGTCTACACCCAAGGCTGAAACGGGCATTTGCGCCATTTGCTCTAGGGCAAACCAACAACCTTTTCCAAAAACAATTACCGGCACATCTTTGTGAAGAGCGTCAACAATCTGGCGGATATACTGCAGTGAAAAGGTCTCGTAGTCTGCGGGCGAAAGCAAGCCGCCCCAGCTATCAAACACCTGAATGGCATTACAGCCCCGGGCTGATTTCTCCTGGAGATAGGTTATAGTAGTGTCGGTAATTTTTTGCAACAGCTTGTGTGCAGCCTCCGGCTGAGTGTAACAAAACTCCTTGGCTTTGTCAAAAGTTTTACTCCCCTGTCCTTCTACCATATAGCATAGAATGGTCCAAGGAGAGCCGGCAAACCCAATGAGTGGCACTTCATCGGCCAGCTCCTCTTTGGTCATCTCTATGGCTCGAAACACATAATTCAGCCGGTCTTCAACATCTACTTCTGGCAGGGCATTTACCTGCGCTGCGGTGCGAATAGGATTGGGAATATAGGGGCCTTTTCCAGGCACCATTTGAACCTCTACGTCCAATGCCTGTGGAATTACCAGAATGTCTGAAAACAAAATGGCGGCATCCACACCAACCTGGTGAATGGGCATTACGGTGATTTCAGTGGCCAGCTCGGGTGTTTCCACCCGGTCAAAAAAGCTGTATTTTGCCTTCAACTTCATAAAGTCGGGCAGGTATCTTCCAGCCTGGCGCATCATCCATACCGGTGGCCGTTCAACNNAAAAGATCGTTTTTCATTTGTAAATAGCTGATATTTAGTAGCTGGTATTTTGTGTAAGTATTTTCATCACCCGAACCTTGAACTTTAAACCTTGAACATTCAACTATTTGTCAAAATATTCAATCACCTTGTCTACTACCGATTCAATTGATGGCTCATTGGCATTTATACGGGGATTATTGCAACGCAAGCGCACCGCTTCGGCAGTAGTGGCGCCTATGCAAAAGGCAGGGATGGCCTCGTTAACTTTATTCTTCTTAAAAAAAGCGAAAGCCGCAGTTGGTGATAGAAAAATGAGTCCCTTCACCGGGCTGGTATCTATGTTTTCATGAACCAATTGCGTGTGATAAACTATTTCGCGGTTTACCTTGATATTTTTACTCTCCAGATATTCTGGTAAGTCGTCTAATGATTTGTCTCCGCAAAAAAAGTCTACAGATTCAACATCGGCATTCCGTGCAATTATTTGAGCCAGACTGATTGCATTATCGGCTCTTGCCGAGGCCTTAATTCCCAAATCGGCCAGCATTTGAGTGGCTTTGATGCCTACGGTAAAAGTTTTCTTTTTTGGAAGATCAATATTGTGTTCCTTGGCCAACATTTTAAGGCTGTGCACTGAATTCTTGCTGGTAAAAATTCGTGCTTGCGTATCGGTATTGTGCAGGCGCGCATAAAAGGATTCAGGATTAAAGTTGTGTTCTACTTTAATGAAATCCATTTCGCGATAAGCGTGCCCGGCTCTTTGCAGTTTCTCAACCAGCTCAGTGTTTAAGGTTCGCGTAGAAAATATATGTTGGTCTGTCTTTTCAGGCATTCCTTAGTTTTTCCATTATTTTTTGGGCGCCTTCTGCAAGCACTTGTTTGGCAGCAGTTTCTGCCACGCTTTCGGCCTGAGCCAAATCTACAACTTGTTTGTTTTCAAATTTGGCGCTGCCATCCAGTTCAAAAACAGCCCCGTGAAAGTGAATGTTTTTACCTTTTAGAAAGGCGTATGCACCAACCGGTGCAGAGCAACCACCTTCAACTTTATTTAAGAAGCCCCGTTCAATTTTAGCACAAAGAAAAGTTTCCGGATGATTAACTCTTTTTAGCAAGTCTTTCAATTTCAAATCACTATCGCGGCATCCGAGCCCGATTATGCCTTGTGCCGGGGCGGGAATCATCCAGTATAAAACAAGGTGGTTGGCTGGTAAAAGATCAATCCGTTCCAGGCCTGCCTTGGCGAATATTGCGCCCTGCCAGTTGTTTTCCTGTAGTTTGCGCAGCCGCGTCTGTACATTCCCGCGAAGGGCAGTGCTTTGATGCCTGGGGTAGCGGTATTTCCACTGCGCTATTCTGCGGATGGAGCCAGTGGCTATGGTGGCTTCACTTTCAGGTTCTTCCAGGAAACTGGTGTCTCCTTTACGCACGAGTATATCTTGATGCGGTCCTCGTTTCAGTACAGCCGGAAGCGCCAGTCCTTCGGGCGTTTCGGTTGGGTAATCTTTGAGTGAGTGCACCGCCAGATCTATCCTGTTTTCCTGAAGTGCCACATCCAGCACCTTGGTGAAAATTCCCGTTGTTCCAAACTGGTGAAGAGGGGTTTGAAGGTCTAGGTCACCGGGCGATTTTACAGCAACTATTTCGGTTTTGCAGCCCAGACTTTTTAGCTGATATTCAACCTGATAAGCCTGCCACATGGCGAGTTTACTGTCGCGTGTACCTATGCGAATAACTTGTTGCTCCAAAAAAATTAGTTGTTGAGCTCAAAGATATGATGAATAGTGCGAAGGTCACTATTTACATCGGCTCCGTTTTTAAGCTGGCGGGCAAATTGGCCCGTGATTCTGTTTAATATTTGACTGGCGAAAGCCTCGGCCTGCTCGGGGTTTAACTCGGGGTATTTTTTACTGATGGAATGGAGCTCCTTCTTTTTCCAGCCTTCTAACTTTTCGCGCATGGCTTGTAATGTTGGCGCCACTTTGCGACTTTCAAGCCACTGGTAAAACTCGTCAATTTTTTCCTGAATAATTTTTTCAGCCATGGGCACCTGGTTCATGCGATGGCGAATGCTCTCTTCTGCTACTTCCGAGAGGTGGTCAACATCAATCACCCTGAAGTTTTCGGCTTTGTACAAGCCGTGGTCAACGTTGCGCGGCATGCTTAGATCCAGAAGCAAACGCGGTTTTTTTGTTGAAAAATGCTCGGGTTTTACCGTGGCGGTGCTGTTGCCGGTGGCAACCACTACAATGTCGGCTTGATTTAACCCATCATGCAGGTGCGCAACATCAAGGTGTTTTACACCAAACTTGTCAGCCAGGCGCATGGCCTTTTCCTCGGTACGGTTTACCAGGGTTATGTCTTTAATACCCGTTTGGTTTATGAGGTTTTCACAAGTGGTTCTACCCATTTTCCCCGTGCCGTAGAGCAGTACTTTTGGAGTGCTGTTGGTTTTCAAGTATGCTTTAATTTGCAATACCGCGGCAAATGCAACGGACGCAGCACCCGTGCTTAGTTCTGTTTCGTTTTTCACCCGCTTGGAGCACTGCACCGTATTACTTACCAACCGGTCTAAAAAGGCGTTGTGCGAGTGAAGGTCTTTGGCAAACTGAAACGATTTTTTGATTTGGCCAATAATTTCAAAATCGCCCAAAATTTTAGATTCCAGCCCCGAACCTACGCGGAACAAGTGCTCAATGGCTTCGCGGTTTTGTTTTATGTGCTGGTATTTTTCAAAAGCCTCATGGCTGTTGCCAGTATGCTTGCAAAATAGAGAAATGATGTTGCGCGGGCAGTTTCCAAAACCATACAACTCTGTACGATTGCAAGTGGCCAAAATCATCAGGCCATCGCCACCAAGTTGTTTGTAGTCGTATATAAGATGGCTACTCTGTTCCTGGCTTAAGGAAAACTGTTCTCTAACTTCTACCGGTGCATTGGTATGATCAATACCCACCATGAAAAAATTTGAGAAAGAGCTAACTTGAAAATTCTTCATAACTGTGCGGCAAAAATATCCCGTTAAGAAATGCTTGCATACCTCAAAACGATTAATTTATATCCCGATTTTAAGTTTTGATCTATTTAGACCCGTTCTACTTAATGCGGCAATTACCTTTGCGCAAAGGTAGATGTAGCAAAGAATTTCAATACTGACATTTATCATGTCATAAGTAGATTAAATTATGGAGTTGCAATTTGAGATTGAGGAGCCCGAAAAAAATACCCCGAAATGTGAATTGGAAAATAACCTGATTGGTGAAGGTTTTTTTATGGTAAAGGTGAGCAATGAGGGCGATGAAACTTTACGCTTAAAACGCGATATTGACCAGAGCCTCATTCAATTTTACTTTGCGGTAGAAGGTGGGGCCGAGTTTTTCTTCAACCGGGGCAACTATAAACTGCAGTTAGAAACCGAAAAGTGTTTGCTGTTTTACAACCCATTAATGGCTTTGCCCCTCAATATTGAGGTTATGCCAAAATCTAAATTGGTGTTTCTCTATATAACCGTTGAGAATTTACACCGCTTGTTTGTGGCCGAATCGGATGAAATTGAGTTTCTCAACAAGGAAAACATCGATAAGAAATTTTACACCAATCGAAACCTTAGCCCCATGCAAATGCTTACTGTTAATCAATTTTTTGCTACTAATGTGAAGGGGCCAGCCCGTTCGGTTTTTATGCGTGCCAAGGCCTATGAGATTTTGGCCCTTTTCTTCAATAAAGAAGAAGGCAAGGATACCGATCAGTGCCCTTTTTTGAATGACGAAGAAAATGTGGAGCGCATAAGAAAGGCCAAGAGAATACTGGTAGATGGTATGACAGACCCACCCACTGTTAAGGAGCTGGCGCTTGAAGTGGGCTTGAATGAATATAAGTTGAAAGAGGGATTTAAAAATATCTATGGCAAAACCGTATTTCAGTTTTTAAATGATTTTAGGCTGGATACCGCTCGCCATTTGTTGGATAGCGGAAGGTATAAAGTGAACGACACGGCCTTTCAAATTGGATACACCAATCCCAGCCATTTCATTGCCGCCTTTCGCAAGAAATTTGGCATGACCCCAAAGAAATATTTAACCGCCCGCGGTTTATAACAAGATAATAGGATTAAGCATGTCTGAATCAAAACAAGGAATTTTATTGGTGAATCTCGGCTCCCCAAACTCTCCGGAGGTAAAGGATGTAAAGCCTTACCTGGACGAATTTTTAATGGATGAACGGGTTATTGACGTGCCGCTTTGGCTGAGAAACGTGCTGGTGAGGGGAATCATTTTAAATACCCGGCCCAAAAAATCAGCAGAGGCTTACAAAAGCATTTGGTGGGAAGAGGGCTCTCCACTTATTGTGTTGAGCAAACGCCTGCAGGCCCAGGTGCAAAAGCATACAGATTTACCCGTGGGCCTGGGCATGCGGTACGGGCAGCCTTCAATTGAGGATGGCATAAAAGAACTTTTAGCTTCAGAGCCTGGCTTGGAGGAGTTTGTTCTTATTCCGCTTTACCCACATTATGCGATGAGCAGTTATGAGACGGTGGTGGTAAAAGCCAGAGAAGTGGTAGAGCAAAAGTTTCCACAATTGAAAATGAAGGTAAAAGAGGCCTTTTACGATGATGAACGGTACGTGAGAATAATGGCCGATGCTCTGAAACCCGCACTGGAAAGAGACTACGATCATTTACTTTTTAGCTACCACGGGGTGCCGGAGCGGCATATTCGCAAAGGCGACATTACCAAGAGCCATTGTCTCAATTATGAAAACTGCTGTCAAAAAGACTCTCCCGCGCACAAGCATTGTTACCGCCATCAAACCCTGGCCACAACTGATCTTATTGCCCGGGAGCTCAATCTGCCGGAAGGCAAGTATAGCAGCAGCTTTCAAAGCCGTTTGGGCAAAGACCCATGGCTGACTCCTTTTACGGATAAAACCATAATTGATTTTGCCAAAAAGGGCGTAAAGAAATTAGTGGTGGTATGTCCGGCTTTTGTTTCTGACTGC